CCAGTCAATTCCAGTGACGTCTAATCCTTTGACTTGCGGTCAGTGGATTTACTCGTTAACCCTGGTGACAAACCCTTCGGGAATAACTGAAGGAGGCACACGGTTTCGACAAAATATTAATTTATTTTTCATATACACAGTACAGATCACATGTAATTGAAAGGCAAAAGCAAGAGTCCCAACCCTGTCGCTGTACTGGTCCGCTTACATCACAGGCCCCCTATATCTTCAAAAAAGATTTATCTAAAAGAGGCTGGGTGGGTTTGAACCATAGTTACACAGGTTAATCATCATATACCATGGTTGCTTGTGTTCATCGCATACGACACAAAATATTTTTAACTAAAAGCCTTATTTTTGTTCCAGCCCAGGTTAATTTAATGTCAAAATATCACAGTGCTTTTAAAATAGACATTGACAGACATGTTAGTGCCTTCAAACACGGGGAGCGTGATGCCGCGAACAAAATATAGCGACTGTGCATAAATTAAAGTTAAAACGAAGACATTTAACTAAAATGTAATACTAAATTCACAGGAAATGGTAAATATGAGGTAAATTTCTCGCCATGAGTGCCTTTAAGACCAAAGAAAAAATGATCTACAGGATCAAAGCAAGGAAAGTACTCAGTACTCCTTAACTTCTTTTCTTCTTTAGATTCCTACTGCATAATACAGCAGTTAATAAGTTACAATACTGAGAAATTGACTATCTACAGGACATGAAACTCAAGGGCACTATCAGAGGCAATTAAGTTGGCTAAGCTACTAAAAAAAAGAAAAAAAAAGCAACAACTAATACACATCAGAAAATTTCTTAAAGAATTCTTTTTAACAATAGTGCTCTTAATGAAATGCTGAAGTAATTGTTTCTAAATTAATGCCCTCACTAAGTCATTGAATAAATAACAAATTAATAAATTATTAAGTTGACTTTACGTGATCTAGTAAGCATGTCATGCACGGTCATACAGCATTAACAATGACTAAATTTGTACATCTATATCAAATATGAAATTAAGAGCCACTGTCACAAATATATCTATATCATGGTGGACAATTTAAAAGGAACTCAAAAGGATAAGCTTTCTCAACTCAGCCTTTACAATTAATTGCAAACTCAGTACATCTCTTAATTTAGGAATCCTGATTGCACCAAAAAATGCAGCCAGAAAATGGCATAGGTGACAGAAGTACCTCTGCCTTAGAAACAATTTTACAGGTAAATCTCCACAATCTTAGCAAATAAATAAATGTCAGGTAAAATGTGTAG